TTGGCACCCTTCTGGATCCTCTGCTTGCCAGGGGTGCGTGCGCCTCTTCCCCATGCACACAGGCGCACATGGCAGGCTGGACGCACTGCCCGCCGTCGTCCAGCACAGTCCCCTCTGGGCAGTTGCAGCCGGCCATGCAGACGTGGTCCAGATCCTGGCAGGGGCCCAAGCGCAGGTCAGCGCAGGTCGTTCTGCAGGGGGGTGCACATTCCTGATAGACTTGCCCCCAGAACACGGCGCAGCTGTGGGGAGAGGGAAAGGGTCAGGATCCTGCAAGCAAGAAGCACTCAGGGTGACGCTGGGTCTTCAAGGAAGTCGTCGGGGTCTTCAGCACAACTGAATGCTGAGCAGCAATGAAAGTTTATTTTGTGTGCATGTGGCCAAATTGTTTTTATTAGTTTTCCAAATTTTACAAAATTAAGACGAAATTCAATACAATTTCTGCAAAATCTGGCTTCCTGGACTCCATTCTTGATGTGACCAAAGTTTTCTCTTGTTGCAGCTTTATTCTCCTTGGTCATTTCTATCTCACTTTCCATTCCCTTCAATTATATTACAAGAGTTTTTTGTTGCTTTTAAACTTATTTATCCTTAATCATCACCTATCTGCTTGCCAGTCCCTGCACGTGAGCAGAAACTAAATACTTTTTATCATACGTGGTGGTCTTGTAGTAAGGTTAAAGCTTACTGGGAAACGATAGATAATGAATTGAAAAAGATGTTCAAAAAACACCAGAAGCTTTTCTTTTGGGAATTATAGGGACAGAACTACCTAAACTATATAGAAACTTATTCATGTATGCGACTACAGCGGCAAGAATGTTGTTCGCCCAAAAGTGGAAAGAAGCAGAAGTCCCAACAAAGAAAGAATGGATACAAAAACTTATGGAATACAGTGGTTCCTTGGTTCCTGAACGGCTTAGTTGACGAATAAATCGGCTCCTGAATGCTGCAAATCCGAAAGTAAGCATTTCGGTTTGCGAACGTTTTTCAGAAGCCAAACGTCCGTTTCGGCTGTTGGTATTGTTTCTGGAGCCAATCAGCCAATTCAGAAGCCATGCCTTGGTTTGCGAACGTTTTGGAAGTCAAACGGACTTGAACGGAAGTCAAACGGATTGAGTTCTAGAAACCAAGGTACCACTGTATGCAGAAATGGCAAAATTTAGCAGAAGAATAAGAAATCAAGATAATAAACTTTTTCATAAAAGAATGGAAATGGTTTGTTGAATATTTACAGATAAATTGCAAACAGATAAAAACATTGGCAGGATTATTGTAATAACCTGGAGTTCCATAAGAGTTTATACTTAAAGTAGATAATTAAATGAGCAAATTAAATGAATTTGAATATGCCAGAATATATTAAAAAAATAAATTTAAGGAATTGCAGAAAGAGTGGGAAGGAAGCTAAACTTTGAAATGTTAAAAAGATTGTGAAATTATTGAAATATGCAAATTTGAAAAAGTATAAATAAAGACTTAAAAAATAAATAAACATTTTTCTAGTCTCTAGGCTCCAGCCAAATGTAAATAAGGGATCAATGTGCTCGGAGGCACCCACCTCCAGCCCCCCCTGCTGCCCCCTTCCCACTTAAAGGTAAAGGTAAAGGGACCCCTGACCGTTAGGTGTAGTCGCGAACAACTCTGGGGTTGCGGCCCTCATCTCGCTTTACTGGCTGAGGGAGCCGGCGTACAGCTTCCGGGTCATGTGGCCAGCAGGACTAAGCCGCTTCTGGCAAACCAGAGCAGCGCACGGAAACGCCGTTTACCTTCCCGCCGGAGTGGTACCTATTTATCTACTTGCACTTTGAGGTGCTTTCGAACTGCTAGGTAGCAGGAGCAGGGACCGAGCAACGGGAGCTCACCCCATCACGGGGATTCGAACCGCCGACCTTCTGATCGGCAAGCCCTAGGCCTCTGATCGGCAAGTCCCTGCGTCCCTCCTGCCTCTTAGTTCCCCCCTAAATGATCCCACCACCACCCAGGGACGGGTATCATCCACTTTGGGAACCGCTTTATGAGGTTCTCATGGCCTGCCCCTATTCTCCATCCTACCCTTGCAGGCACTGCCATCTTGGCACTTGCCCCAACAACACGACAAGCACACCCGCACCCTGCCCTCCACCCCAGGAAACTCACGGCAGAAGGTCTGGTTCCTCCAGGTGACTGGGGCTCCCTCCTGGGCGCACTGCCTGGCGTAGGCGGCCACAGCGCCACACAAGCAGTCTTTGCCAGCAGAACAACCACACACGTCGTAGAGGCAGAGCTGGTAGAATGGGTCCCGCTCCACCACATCGTGACAGGCCTGCGAGGGGAGAGACGGGGGCGCTGACATGAGCAAGCGGCCTGGTTTTTCCAGGACGCAGAGATGGCTTGAGGCAGGCCCAGGCGGTCATTAAGACTTGCTCAGGTGCCAAAGAGATTAATGTGAAAATGCAGCAAAAAGCAATAGATGGTGCCAGGGACCGGTGCCAGGTGCAGGTCAGTCATAACTTACAGGACGTCAGTGAAGTTAACTCTTTAATCAAGGAAACAAGGTCTACTTAGGAGGTCAGACCTAGTAGCCAGCAACTGTGGCCCCAATTAAAGGGTAAAGGTAAAGGTACCCCTGCCCGTACGGGCCAGTCTTGACAGACTCTAGGGTTGTGCGCCCATCTCACTCAAGAGGCCGGGGGCCTGCGCTGTCCGCAGACACTTCCAGGTCACGTGGCCAGCGTGACAAAGCTGCATCTGGCGAGCCAGAGCCACACACGGAAACGCTGTTTACCTTCCCACTAGTAAGTGGTCCCTATTTATCTACTTGCACCCGGGGGTGCTTTCGAACTGCTAGGTTGGCAGGCGCTGGGACCGAGCAGCGGGAGCGCACCCTGCCGCGGGGATTCGAACCGCCGACCTTTCGATCGGCAAGCCCTAGGCGCTGAGGCTTTTACCCACAGCGCCACCCACGTCCCTAGTGGCCCCAATTAGGCAATTGCAAAGACTGAATAAATAAACAACAACAACAACAAAAATTTATACCTGAAGGAGCGTCTCCACTCCCACCATTCAGCCCGGACACTGATGTCCAGCTCCAAGGGCCTTCTGGCTGTTCCCTCACTGCGAGAAGTGAGGTTACAGGGAACCAGGAAGAGGGCCTTCTTGGTGGTGGCGCCCGCCCTGTGGAACGCCCTCCGACCAGATGTCAAGGAAATAAACAACTACCTGACTTTTAGAAGACATCTGAAAGCAGCCCTGTTTAGGGAAGTTTTTAATGTTTGATGTTTTATCGTGTTTTTAATATTCTGTTGGGAGCCGCCCAGAGTGGCTGGGGAAAGCCAGCCAGATGGGCAGGGTATAAATAATAAATTATTCCTATTCTTATTCTTAGTGGGTGCCAGGAGCAGGTCACTAATAATTTACACTGCGTCAGTGAAGTTAACTCTTTATTCGAGGAAACAAGGTCTACTTAGGAGGCCAGACCTAGTAATAATAATAATAATAATTTGCACCCTACCCATCTGACTGGGTTGCCACTCCCTTGCCTCCTAGGGCCTCCCTAGATAATCTCACCACCCCACAGAGCCCAGCAACAACTACTTTGGGGATCACAAAATAAGAGGATGAAGATGGATGGCAGATTTTTGAGATCGGGATGAGATCTCCACCAAGGGACATGGGGCCCGATTCTTGCCCAGATAAATCTCTTGCTTTTGCCGTGGTTTCAGGGCTACATGTCCTCCCCTCTTACCTGGAAGGGGGGGCTGTGGAGGACCTCGCAAGCCGCCTCTGCAAACTGCCTCCGCTGGGCGTACATGCTGCAGGGGTCAAAAGGGAACGCGCCGAAGGAGGGGCAGTCGTGCGAGATGCGGAACCTGCTGGCAAAAGCGGAGGCGCTGGACTCCACGTCTCCCTCCGGCGTGGTGAACTCGTCCTGCTGGTTCCAGTTGTAGGTGCCGCAAAGGCCTCGGACCTGGAAGGCGGAAGAAGGGACATACAGTGGTACCTCATGCTATGTCCGCTTCATGTTACATTCTTTCAGGTTACGCCCCGCAGTGACCCGGAAGTACCAGAAAGGGTTACTTCTGGGTTTCGCTGCTCGCACATGTGCAGAACGCAAAATGACATCACGTGCATGTGCAGAAGCGGCAAATTGCAACCCGCGCATGCGCAGGCGCGCCGCTGCGGGTTGCATTCTTTTCACGTTGCGAACGGGCCTCCGGAACGGATCCCGTTCGCAACCCGAGGTACCACTGTACTGCTGAGCCAGGGCCTTTTCCCATGTCTGGCTGGGTTGCCAGCGACGGTCTCTTTTGGACAGAGATGACTTGGCCACAGCCCTCCACGCTCCAGGAAACTTCCAGATGGGATTGCTGCAATGCGCCCTAGATGGGTCTGTCCTTGAAGACAACTCGGAAACTCCACTTGGACCCAAAGGCAGCGGCCAAATTAGTGGCGGCAGTGTGTGTGTGTGTGTGTGTGTGTGTTTGCATTTAGATCTCATAAACCATTTCAAAACTGCTTGCGCTGGTTACCAGCTTGTTTCTGGGCCCAATTCCAAATGCACATGCTGGCTGTAAAGTCCCATATGACTCAGTCCCCAAATACCTGAAAGACCTTCTCCTGCCCTACAGACCCTGTCAGGTGCTGAGATTGGAGGAAGGGCCCCTCTTGCCTCAGAAGCTCAGGGGTGGGGGTGGCCCAAGGGGACAGGGCCTTCTCCGTGTTGGCTCCTAAGTTGTGAAATTCCCTCCCCTGGCAACTTCATTGTGCAGCTTCTGGAGGATGCTGAAGAAGCACCTCTTGTTCCTGGCTTCTGACACTTGAGGAGGCTGTTTTTTAGGACCCACCTTATTTTTATGATTGTTTTAAATTGCTTTTTAATAATACCTTTAACCTTGTAAGCTGTCCTGGGACCTTAGGGTGAAGGACAGGTAATCAATCAATCAATCAATCAATCAATCAATGTCCCTGAGGATCTGGAAAGTCAAGGGCACACCAGTTGCTTCATACACCCTATGGGTCTGGTTCTAAATCTAAACAGTGGCTCACTGCACATCTCAGAGCTGCAGGTGAGATGTTCCTGCAAAGAAAATTATGATTAACATCACAGGCTCACCTTGTTGGCAAAGCTAGGCTGGAGGGTGATGTAGACTGCCGGAAACTCCAGGCCCCACAGCAAGTGAGCCCCAAAGGCCTGGAGAAGCAGGAAGGAGGAGGAGGCGAGGCGCACCGTCAGGTCAGCGCTGGCAAAAGGGAGGGAGACTTCTTGGCCGTTCACTGACAGCTCCCCTGGGAAGCAAAGGAGAAAGGTGAGAGGGAGGGGTGAAAAGGGGGTTAGACTAGATGGACAGTAGCTCAGGAGGACCAGAGCATCTGCAGCCTTGCAAAGTGAGCTCACTGTGAGAAATAAAATGCTTTGCACAGAGAAGGCCCCAGATTCAATCCCTGGCATCATCTCCAGTTGCAAAGGCGATCTCAAGTCTGAAGTATTGGCTGGCGAAGGCCTCTCTCTGCCCAGGATTCCTGGAGAGCTGTTGCCAGCCTGAGCTGGATTGACCAATGATCTGTCTCAGGAGGAGGCAGCTTTGCAGGCTCTTACGATGATTTATCACACCACAGGCATCTTCCAAACCACCTTCAGTTTGCAGAAGGAAGCCATTGCCATCCTCAGACTCTGAACTCTTGCACCCTGGGAATGTGGTAGCACGTTTGTGCCAGGATGGGGGGCTGCAAGGAACCTGTCTGGCTTCACACAAGCAACACCTGTGCTATTCCATGCTGACGTGCCTCACATGTGCACAAAACCCCCAGCCTGAGCAGGGTGAATGCATTTGAGCGGATAGAGTGGGAACCCTTTAGTCCTCCAGATGTTGCGGGACTCCAACTCCCATCAGCCCTAGCCAGCAACAATCTGGAGCAAAATCTGGAGAGCCTCAGTCAAAACAAAAAAATTCCTTCCAGTAGCACCTTAAAGACCAACTAAGTTAGTTCTTGGTATGAGCTTTCGTGTGCATGCACACTTCTTCAGATACACTGAAACAGAAGTTGCCAGATCCTTCTATATAGTGAGAAGGTGGGGAGGGGTGATACTCAGAAGGGTGGTGGGAATGGGTGATTGGCAGATGGCTGTGATGAGCCTGTTGACGGCTCTTAACGACTGCAATAGGTCTTACAGGAAAAAGCAAGGGGTGAGAAGGTGAAAATGGCTTTGTCATGTATAATGAGATAAGAATCCAATGTCTTTGTTCAGACCAGGTCTCTCTGTGGTTTTAAGTTTAGTAATAAGTTGCAATTCAGCAGCTTCCCTTTCCAGTCTATTTCTGAAATTCCTTTGTAGTAAAACAGCTACTTTGAGATCTTGTATAGAATGTCCTGGGAGATTGAAGTGTTCTCCTACTGGTTTCTCTGTCTTGTGGTTCTTGATGTCGGATTTATGTCTGTTTATTCTTTGGCGTAAGGTTTGGCCTGTTTGTCCAATATAGAGAGCTGAAGGACACTGTTGGCATTTGATGGCATATACAATGTTAGACGATGAGCAATTAAATAGTCCTGAGATGGTATGTGTGATGTTGTTGGGGCCAGTAATGGTGTTGTCCGGGTGTATGTGGCAGCAAAGTTGGCATCTGGGTTTATTGCAGGCTCTGGTGCCAGTGTCCGTGTTAAGTCTGGTTGTAGTATTATTGTGGGTTAGGAGTTGTTTGAGATTGGGTGGCTGTCTGTAGGCAATGAAAGGTCTTCCTCCCAGAGCTTGAGAAAGAGAACTGTCATTGTCCAGGAGAGGTTGTAGATCTCTGATGATGCGTTGTACTGTTTTAACTTGGGAGCTGTATGTGATGACTAGAGGTGTTCTGTTATTTTCTTTTTTGGGTCTGTCTTGCAGCAAGTTCTCTCTGGGTATCAGTCTGGCTCTGTTGATCTGTTGTCTAACTTCATCTGCTGGGTATTTTAGTTCTAAAAAGGTTTGCTGTAGATCTCTTAGGTGAGAGTCTCTGTCTGTAGAATTGGAACAGATACGGCTGTAACGTAGTGCCTGGCTATATACAATGGACTGTTTGGTATGTTTGGGATGGTGGCTAGAGGCATGTAGATATGTTTGTCGGTCAGTAGGTTTACGGTATAAGGTGGTGTCTATGCGCCCATCCTGTATTTTTATAGTAGTGTCCAAAAAATGTATTTCTTGCATAGATTGATTCATAGTTAGGTTGATTGTGGGGTGAAAATCATTGAATTTCTGGTGGAAGGTGTCCAGGGTCTGTTGACCATGTGTCCAGATGATAAAAATATCGTCAATGTATCGCAGGTACAAGAGAGGTTTGAGTGGGTAGGAGTTTAGGAAACGTTGTTCTAAATCTGCCATGAAGATGTTGGCATACTGTGGGGCCATGCGGGTGCCCATTGCTGTGCCGCTGATCTGAAGGAACAGGTCATCACCGAATTTGAAGTTGTTGTGGGTAAGGACAAATTGGCAGAGTTTGGTGGCAAAGTCCGCTGTGGTTTTATCTGAAATGGTGTTCCTTATAGCTTGTAAACCATCGTTGTGTGGGATGTTGGTATACAGAGATTCCACATCCATAGTGGCTACTATAGTATTGTTGGGAAGATTATTTAAAGGTTGTATTTTCCTCAGGAAATCTGTGGTGTCACGTACATAGCTGGGAGCACTGATGGCATATGGTTTCAGAACAGTGTCCATGTAACCGGAGACACCCACTGTGATAGTGCCAATACCTGAAATGATGGGGCGTCCTGGATTTCCTGGTTTGTGTATTTTAGGTAGAAGATAGAAAGTTCCTGGTCGAGGTTCTGTTGGTGTGTTGGTGAGGATCTGTTCTTGGATGTGGGGGGGTAGCTCCTTAACAATCTTGTTCAGTTCTTTTTTGTATTCTTGTGTGGGGTCTGAGTCCAATTTTATGTAAAAGGCGGTATTGGAAAGTTGTCTGTGAGCCTCCTGAATGTAGTCAGTTTTGTTCATGATGAGAACAACCTGGAGAGCCTCAGGTTAGCCTCCTGCCCGCCCATCCCCTATGGCGTTGATGTCCACTCATGAAAGATTCTCCATAACTGTCACCTCCCTCTCTCACCTGTGAAGGACAGGCGGGCAGAGACCTTCTGCACAGTGACGGTCACAGAGTGGAGGCAGCTGCTGGTCCCTCGACTCCCACATGCCACATTCTCTGAGGAAATGTGGAGCTTCCCATCCACATAATCCTGTAAAGTGGAGAACAGCCCCGAGATCAGTGAGATGACAGCGGCGAGATTGTTACAGACACCAAGATGGGAAAATACAAAGCTACCTACTATGGAGGAACGATTCCTAAAATTATTGGACTTGGCTGAGATGGCAAAGTTGACGTGTTTAATGAGAGAGAAATACCTATTGGCATTTATTAAGGATTGGAAACTTCTCGTGGAGCTTTGGCGTGAAAGAGAAAATGAACTTGTAGACTGGAAGGCTCAGAAATCAGGAGGATCGACATTTTAAGAAGGAATGGGGAAAGTTTATAGTTTACCTTCGAGACCATTGTAAACAGTTAAAATTGTTAGCAGGATTGTAATAACACTTGTAACATAACAAGAACGATGGATATAATGGATATTTTAAAAAATGGACTTTAAAATGGATATTTTAAAAAATGTAGCAGGAAAGGATGTGGACCCCATGGAGGGGGGGTGGGAAGGCCAAAGATTCAGAGAAATCTTTTTTCTTTCTTTTTTGATTATGATTTGCGATATGAGTGTAAATTTCAATCTGTAAAATCAAATAATCTTTTTCATCTGAAAAAAGGAAAATTAACTTGTAATAACTGGTTTTTGTATAATTTTCTTGAAATTAAACAAATAATGAGGTTTTCCACCAAAATGATTGAAACCTAGCTGGAACCACACTGCCCCCACCCCCATGTCCTGCCTCCTCACCTGAAACTCTTACCTGCACTAGGATATACTGGCATGTGCCGTGGAAGGAGAAGCGCTTGCGGTCAAAAGTCAGGTAGTGAGGGTCACCGGTTATGGCACATTCCCCAGAGCACTGGTCCCGGGAGCAAAGCCAGAGGCCTCCTTGGCACGTGCTGTGGGGAGAAGGGAATGGGAGTCACGTCAGGGTGCTAGAGCAACAGCCAAAGATACTGCTGTGAGCTTGAGGGGGGTCAGTCTGGATGATGCCCTGGTGTCCCTTCCAATTCTTGGGGTCCTGGGTCCAAGGAGGGTTGGAATCTAACAGAGGAGCCTGCTTGTCAGGCAAGTTTATTGTAAGATAAGGACCTTAGCTGGACAGTTAAGTACCATCCTTAGCATCCCCCAAAAATGGCTTGCAGCATGAACTGCGACTAAGCGATGGCGGTCTCTTGGCTCTCCTTTCCTCCATCCCTCTCATCTAGCTAGGTAGGAGAAAAGCAGCCAGAGAGGGGTTTGAGAGCTGAGCTGGGAGCAGCCTGGAAGCCGGAGATACAGAGATCTGCTTGCTCTGCGCTGGATCCGAAGCTGTGACTAACAGAGAAGCAAGATCTCTTGGGGGCTGATGCTGTGAGCCCCTCCATCCCAGGCTCAGGTTGCATTTATGTGTCAGTACAACCATATAAACTAAAGACACTGCAGTCTCCGCTGACCTTCTTTCCAAGGAAACTGAACTGTTGCCTAAAACCCCTGGAGCAGGCTTCCTCAACCTCGGCCCTCCAGATGTTTTTGGCCTACAACTCCCATGATTCCCTAGCTAGCAGGACCAGTGGCAAGGCATGTGGGGAATAGTAGTCGCAAAACATCTGGAGGGCCGAGGTTGAGGAAGCCTGGCTTGGAGTCTCTCACTGCTCAGAGATGGCATGTGTCAATACAGTGGTACCTTGGTTCCCCAACACCTTGGTTCCCAAACACCTAATACCCAGAAGAAAGTGTTCTGGTTTTTGAACGCTTTTCAGAAGCCAAACATCCGATGCAGCTGTCGGCTATTATTTCCGGGGCACCAGCACCAATCAGAAGCTGCGCCTTGGTTTTCGAACATTTCAGAAGTCAAATGGACTTCCGGAACGGATTAAGATTGGCACTTTTGTTTTGCTATTTATTTTGCGTTTTTGTTTCTGAGGCTTTTTTTGGTTCATTTGTTTTTGTGACTGTGTGGAACCCAGTTCAGCTACTGATTGATTGATTGTGTGACTGCAGAAATGGATAAAACAATGGCTATCATCAGTGCAGGTAAGAAAAAAATTAAATTTTTATTTTTATCATCTACAATACTGTCTTATTTATTTTATAGTACAGTACATTGATTATTGCTTTCGTTTTATGGATCAATGGTCTCATTAGATAGTAAAATTCATGTTAAATTTTAGGGGTTGTTTTTAAAAGTCTGGAACGGAGTTTTGCATTCCTTTCTATGGGAAAGCGCACCTTGGTTTTGGAACACTTTGGTTTAGGAATGCTTCCAGAACGGATTAAGTTTGAGAACCAAGGTACCACTGTATATGTGTAAACTAAAGCATGCATCCTAAGACAACAACAACAACAATTTATTTATTTTAACCCGCCCATCTGGCTGGGTACCCCCAGCCACTCTGGGCGGCTTCCATCAGAATATTAAAAACAAAATAAAACTTCCCTAAACAGTGCTGCCTTCAGATGTCTCTGCTGACCTCCTTTCCAAGGAAACTGAACCCTGAGGAAGCGCTGTAACCCCTGACTCCTCTCCCTTCCAATTTACAGTTCTGTGATTCCAGGAACTCCAAGAATGCCAGCTACCCCTGGGCTAAAGATACTGCTGCGCTTGGCAAGACTAATCGGACCATGTCCCCCCTCCAGCTATCTTGAGAAATTACCTTTTGTGGGTTCAGATGGGCAGAGACTCACCAACGGTTGCATCGCTGCTGGAGGACATCTCCCGGGGCGAACTTCTGGCGCCGGTGGAAGCAGGGACACTGGCTCTCCGGGACGCAGGCCCCCCCTTCCAGGTAGAGGCCGGCCGGGCACTCGCAGCCGCTCACGCACTCGTCCCGGCAGTGCCCTTCCTCGGCTGCGCCCACCGCAGCACAGCTGGCAGGGCACGAGGAGACGCAGTCGGAGTAGTGCTTTCCTTGCCCGCACGACTTTTCTGTCAGGAGGGAAGAAGAGGGGCAGTTTCAAGGGGGAGGTTTCCGGGTGTCTAGAGAGAACTGTGGGGGACACAGCAGTCTTCGGGGGGTGGGAGAAGCTCCTGCCCCCCTCTTTCCCTAGGCAAACTGGCCTCCTCTTATCACAGCCATCAACATGATCATCGCCCCATTATACAGATGTTGGGGGTGACCACACTCAGAATGCTCTGGAATACATGTAGGCAGGGCCGGATTTCGGTTTGATGCGGCCCTCAGCTACTGAAGGTAATGGGGCCTTTTCTATGTCCTTTGTCAACAACAAATTGTTGCTTCTTTTTGTGTTGAATATATAAAAGATAAAGGGACCCCTGACCATTAGGTCCAGTTGCAGAAGACTCTGGGGTTGCGGTGCTCATCTCACTTTACTGGCCGAGGGTGCTGGCATACAGCTTCCGGGTCATGTGGCCAGCATGACTAAGCCGCTTCTGGTGAACCAGAGCAGCGCATGGAAACACTGCTTACCTTCCCGCCGGAGCGGTACCTAATTATCTACTTGCACTTCACGCTTTTGAACTGTTAGGTTGGCAGTAGCAGGGACTGAGCACCGGGAGCTCACCCCATCGTGGGGATTTGAACCACTGACCTTGTGATCGGCAAGTCCTAGGCTCTGTGGTTTCACCCACAGCGCCACCCGCGTCCCTAATGAATATATGTTCTATGGTAATTTGTGGACCTAATAGGTATCTCAAGTCATTTCCACATGTTGCCTTGCAACCAGTCCATGCAGAATGTAGGCACCCTATATATAGAAAGGAGCAAACCAGGGATATTTTAGGGAGCAGGTGGGGCCCCTGACTTACATCATAGGAGCCTGCACAACACAAAACACTGTTGCTATATGTAGCTTTTATTTTACTTGCTTTTTATCTTATATTTTGGAAATGTACATCCAGGTTTCCCCCCCCTTTTTTTTTTTTGAGGCCCCCAAGAGAGTGGAGCCCTAAGCTAGAGCTTGTTTAAGCTTATAAGTAAATCTGGCACTTGGTTTTGGGGTTAAAGCAAGCATCCCCAAACTCGGCCCTCCACATGTTTTGGGACTACAACTCCCATCATCCCTAGATGACAGGACCAGTGGTCAGTGATGATGGGAACTGTAGTTCCAAAACATCACACAAGTAGCCAACAGTTGCCGGGGGAAAGTCAGGCTGGCTAAAGCTCAGAATGAGCTCAGGCTTGCAAGAGAAGATAAAAATAATAATAAAAGGTTTCTTCGACTAGGTCTGGAGTAAAAGGAAGAACAAGCAAGTGGGAAGTCCTCTGCATGGGGAAGATGGAGAAATGCTATTGGGTGACAGAGAAAAGGCGGAACGGCTCAACTCCTTCTTTGCCTCTGTCTTCACCCAAAAGGAAAGCGATGCCCAGACCAGTGAAAACAGAATAAATGATGGAAAGCGGGAGTTGCAGCCCAAGATAGGAAAAGAGGAAGGGAACACCTAGCTAATTTCAATGATGAGCTGCACCCAAGGGTGCTAAAGGAGCTTGTGGGTGTAATCTCAGAGCCTCTGTCTATGATCTTTGTGAATTCTTGGAATTTGTGGAAGCCACCTTGAGTCCAGGTCTGGGGAAACGGCAGGATAGAAACAAGAGGAGGAGGAGGAGGAGATTGTGGCCAATGTGCTGGAGTCACACAGCCTTGGAGAAACATGCCTTCTGCTATAAGGGGTCGATGTCCGCAAAGGCAGGTGCTTCCTGGGTGCCCTGCTCTGTCCCTGCTTACCACAGAATCCAGCCCGCCTCCAGCTGACGAAGACGCTCCTCTGGGCACACTCGCGGGCGTAGCTGGCAAAGGTCTCGCAGACGGCACCAAGCCCAGCTCCGCTGCAGTGCAGGTACATGCAGGTGTCGTAGAAGCCCCTGGGGTCCACCTGCCGGAGACAGAGCAAGAGGCCGGACCTCAGTGAGGGTGGGGCAGGAGCGGGCAGGAGGTTGGAAGTTAAAGGGAGGCCGGGGAAGGTGTGTGGTGTGGCAGACCCCTCACCTCCGAGTGGCATTGACCGAAAGGCCGGAAAGAAGTTTCCGGCAAACGGACTCTGCCTCCTGCTGCATCCTTTGGCCTTCCGGCGCTTCGCAGCTGTGAGGCTCCTCTGCTGCGTCTTCACAGGGGATCTAGGGCAGGGGGTAGTAGAGGTTACCATCCAGACACTTCGCTGTGCAGATACTGGTGGCTACGATACAATACGATAATCTTTATTGTCATTGTCCCATACAGAACAACGAAATTGAAAAAAATCTACATCAGACATTCAAAAACCAACAAGCCTGCTATCCCAGCTATCCCAGCCTGGTTAGCCCCCTAAAAACTCTGATACCCCATAATTGAATACAATATACTCACATAGAGACTACCTTAAAGGTAAAGGTAAAGGTACCCCTGCCCGTACGGGCCAGTCTTGACAGACTCTAGGGTTGTGCGCTCATCTCACTCTAGAGGCCGGGAGCCAGCGCTGTCCGCAGACACTTCCGGGTCACGTGGCCAGCGTGACAAAGCTGCTCTGGCGAGCCATCACAGCACACGGAAACGCTGTTTACCTTCCCACTATAAAGCGGTACCTATTTATCTACTTGCACTTTAAGGTGCTTTCGAACTGCTAGGTGGGCAGGAGCTGGGACCAAAAGACGGAAGCTCATCCCGCCACGGGGATTCGAACCACCGACCATACGATCGGCAAGTCCTAGGCACTGTGTTTTACCCACAGCGCCACCCGCGTCCCTAGAGACTACCTTACATTGCATTAAAAACCAAAATCGCATTGGGATAGAAACTGTTTCTCAGGCAGCTAGTCCTAGTCTTTATAACCCTGGACCTTCTTCCAGAAGGCAGAAGCTGAAAGAGATCATTTCCGGGGTGCGCACTATCCTGCACTATCTCTGCAGCTTTCTTATGGCACCTGGAAGCGTAGATTTGATCCAAGGTGGGAAGAGGCACCCAATTATTCTCTCCGCAGTCTTACAACCCTGGACAGCGTTGTTTTCCCCCTGGCCGTGCAGCTCCCAAACCACACACAGAGACCATAAGTTAATACACTCTCCACAGTACAATGGTAAAATGCCATCAACAGGTCCTTTGAGAGATTATTTTTCTGGAGGATTCTCAGAAAGTATAACCTCCGCTGTGCTCTCTTCATCAGGTCTTTGCTGTTTTCTCCCCAGGTTAGGTCATCTCTCAACTCCATTCCCAGAATATATACTGTTTAGCAGAGTTTATCTTCTTTCTCTCGCGGACGTGATGAACAATGACGAAGTATTCTAAAGATGACTCACAAACTCTGTGAACTCTCAGCCAAGAGATATTATTCCCAGACCAGGTAAAAGCATTGCAGTAGCAAATATATTTTGACTGTTAAAATAAATGGGAATTAACAGCACACTTTCAAACAAAAAGTCTGATCTCCAGCACGTCGTAAATTACAGGAACAGTCCTTCAACAGATTTCACAGGCAACACTCTTCGGACAGACGTTTGCAAAAACAAAACCGAGTGGCCTTCTTCTTCTTCTTAGCACTGCCAGCTGATGCCAATTAAGCTCAAAGAGCCACTCCCATACATAAAGGGAAAACTCTGGAACCTTCTAGAAACTTTCTACTTGTTTCTGGCAGAATGATTCCCTAACAGGGGGAGGAGGGAGAACTCAGAGGAGCCAGGGCAAGTGCTCTCTTCACAGTGGCTCAAAGGGGAGAGCACCTGCTTGGCATCTAGAAGGTCCAACTTCAATCCCCAGGTAGGGCTGGGATTAAGCCCCTGACCGAAAGCTTGGAGAGCCATTGCTGCCAACCAGTGTAGACAATATTGAGCTAGATGGAGAAATGGCCTGACTCAGTGCCAAGGCAACTTCCTATGTTCCAACCTCTCGGCAAACCGCGGAAATGAACCAAGACAAATCCTCAGGGAGCAAGCTAGTCATTGGAAGCGACTTCGGTCCGCGCTCGCACCACCTACCAATCCGGCGTCAGGGACGCGCCACGAATTGCCAAAGCTCGCCGCCGAGGTGGCCACATCGCCTCCCACGCGTAGGAAGTCGTCTGTGGGTGCAAGGAAAAAGGTAGTGGGGTGCATGTGGGAAGGGTTCTGGCAGAGAAGGGTGCCGGAATAGCCTTCCCCTCTCGGCCACTAGGGGGCAGGCAAGTTGGGGTGGGGAGCAGCAGGGGAAGGGCCCCTCCTGAGAAAGATCCCTGGGGGGGATGCTCACCCAAACCGCCCCAAGGGAGGCGGAGGAGAAGGCGTCGGAAAGGTCAAGAGTTCATTGTTATTCCTGTAGGATAACCACTTCATATAACCAAACATATTTAAGTGCAATGAAGGGGTTAAAACCATAGAGTAAGGTGTCCTGCCAGGCTTAGCTAAATCCACTCCCCTCACCTGGGGAGGACTAGGTAATCAAGCCTTCGTTCACCCCCTTGAAAAAGCTCAACGTTGTAAAGAGGTTCTGAGTTTATTGTTCCAGCTCAAACCTCATGGCTCTGATCAGCCACTCCTAATTTGTTATATACCAATAATTTAGGAGCTTCGCCACTTTGCAACTAAGCCAAGATTTACTGCCTTGTGCAATTTTTACTCACTGATGTAGTGGAAAGCACATGAACTTGACCTTTGAAGAGTTTGTAAGTAAACCCATTTTTAACTTACCCCATGTGTGGTCTTTTCCTATGCTGGAATAAGAGGGAATTTTTGGAACTCACACGGGGCATCTTTTAAAGGTCTAACAGTCTAGACTTCCATGCTTTGCTTTGTTGCATATTTTGTGATTTTAAATCTCTGCTGGGGTTCTCTCACCAAATTTGGATCTGGCCTGACAGGAGTCCCCTTTATACCTATATTTTTCCTTACACCAGCAATTGAAGGGGTGGTTTTAGATTGAGCTGGTTGTCCCTTCCAATTCTGCACTTCTGTGATGCTAAGTGGTTCCAGCCATGGAGTCTCCACTGTTTGCCCTGGGGCATCCACGGGATTGGGGTGCAAGGAGGAAGTAAGGGGGGGCAGTTCCCCCCCCCATCAAAGGATGAACCATATCTCCAGATCCCCAGCTTTGATTTTTAAAAATGTTCCTTGCATTTGTAGAGCCTGAGAAATAAGTCGAAAGGGCTCTTCTCTTTTGCTTTGTGGGAAACCAGCCTGCTCCCCCCCCAACTTTTTCAGTGGTTTACTTTGCCCCCCTCCCACACAAAAGTTTTGCAGACTGCCTTCTAATGACTACCACCCACCCACTCCCGATACAAAAGCCAGAGAGCGGCTACCTTGGTCCAATGCTGGTGAGAGTTTTGGACCTTTGAAGAGAGCAACACGGTGTCAGAAGTGAGAGCTCTCCCTTCTGTTTCCCCTCCATGGATGAGGGGAAAGTGTGGGTGTCCCCCTGCGGTCTTTACCTGCAGGGTCGTCGTTGTAGACCCACACAGCCCTCGGTGGCTCCTTTCAGGTCCGCCCCGATGGTGATGTAGACGGTGTCGCGCCCATCAACTTGACCCGCACCCCCAGGCCGCTTCCACGAAGAGGAAGTCTCCCAGCCACCAAACACTGATCCTGGGATAAAACAGGAATGGACTTGGTATCGGTGCTGAAGCACAAGCTAAACTGTGGACTCCACTCTCTCTTTCACAGACGCACATTGCTTGGATGAGAGACGCCTTAGAATTCTGTTTTTAAATGTTTTTAAAATGACTTGAATAAACATGGTTCCAACAACAACACTTGGCAGATGATCCAGGATGGACTTGTGGAACTATCCTACTGCAGCACCCAAGAAATGACTGCTGACATCCTGACGAAACCCCTACCAAGAGAGAGTTTCCAGAATCTACGTGTCAAGCTGGGACTCTGGGTGGTTGAATAAAGTTGTTTATATTTTGTATATGTTGTATTGCCTGAGAAGGGGTATGTGGGATGTAAACACAGGAGCAGTCAATGACAACATTCCTAGAGTGTACATGTTTAGAACATGGGGGGGATGTCTGTCCAGCAAGCAGGTAAACTTCCTGGGGACGGACTTCCTCCACATGTGACTAGAGGTGGGTGTGGCCTCACCTGTGCAGGTGATGACAAAAAGCACAGGGCAGGCAGCCATCTCTCTCTCTCTGCCATTTTCCTTCGACGAGGAAACACCTAAGGATGCCCTCTTGGCTCCCAGCCAAGCGAGGAGATAAGGCCTATCTTGCTATGAGATAGATTCTAAATCTATGTAACCTTTTTAAGCTGTGCCTTCTGGGATCACATTGTGAACAGAACGTGAGTAAACTCTTTTATACTTTTATGAAGACTGTGTCGTGTCTTGTATTTTAAGAGGGAACTAAAGGGGAAATTACCAGGGTAATTATTATAGAGGTTCTAGCGAACCTGTGCACACGTTACCGTTGCGTACTAAAGGGGAATGTATGTAAACTCTGCTGATATTTTGGGAACTTGTTAGCACAAGTTGGACAAGGATATAATTAGTCAATATATCCTCTCCTGCACCCCAGAACATTCCCACAGTGTTTGGGTTGGTGTGGCTAGGTGCGAATCTGAGATTTGTGAGGAGGTTCAACAGGTGCCTGACAAAGACGCCAGGAAGAGGCGAAAGGCAATGGGGAAGGTGTTGAACTCTCAAGGGTCTGTAAATATGTGTGTCCACAACTCCTCTCCGATTGTAAGGCGAGAGGGGGTGTGGAGAGAATCAGAACCTACAGGGTTAAGAGGTTCTGTGTGACGTCTTACATTCTGAGGCGTGGTTAAGTATACTGAGGGGAGTGTTTCCTGTGTTCAGTTCTGTTTTCACTTTTGCGGAGAGAGGAGGCAAGATGTGTGCGTTGTCTCCAGGAAAGATTTAAGAGCTGTTTTTCTACACGAATAAAGACTTTTAGAAGATAAGGAAGACACCGTGCGTGCAGCCTGATTTATTACACACACACAGCGACAGTTTCTCGCTGCATGCACTCTGCTACTGTAGCTGACAGGAGAGCTGAGGGAAGCGCGTGGGCTCCATTTACAGCTACGGAAATATACCCAACATTCAATACAGATCAAAGACAGAAATGGCTGAACTGAAACCACAAAGAGTAGGCGGAAGTCAGCAAACCAACAAATTAAAAAAGGAACTGAATCCGGGAAGAGGGACTTTGTGGATAGAATACCCTGGTACCGGTTCGAATTAACTAAATATTGCTTTTTGTTTAATAGGCGGTTTTAGTTTTGTTAATTTTTCGGTTTTGTCGCCATGCAACTTTCTCTTTCTTTTTCCTTTTCTCTCTCTCTTTACTTATTTTATATAATGCACATTTATTTTACATTCTTGACAATTCAGTTATGTATACTGTAATAACTACCGTATTTTTCGCTCTATAAGACGCACCAGACCACAAGACACACCTAGTTTTTGGAGGAGGAAAACAAGGAAAAAAATATTCTGAATCCCAGAAGCCAGAACAGCAAGAGGGATCGCTGCGCAGTGAAAGCAGCAATCCCTCTTGCTGTTCTGGCTTCTGGGATAGCTGCGCAGCCTGCATTCGCTCCATAAGACGCACACACATTTCCCCTTACTTTTTAGGAGGGGGAAAGTGAGTCTTATAGAGCAAAAAATACAGTATTTAGAAATATCTAATGTACCATTAATTTGTTTTTTACTTTTTTTGTATGTTATGTTTGTAATGTTTGTTTAATAAAATATAAATAAATAAATAAAAAAGTCTTCCCCCATCTCCCCACCGCCTGCCCTGCTTCCTCACCTTTCTGCAAGCGGGGCTCCCCCTCGGGCACCGCAGCGCCGTTCACGGATACGCGCCGTCCTTGAGCCACAACCAGGTCGAGGCCGAACAGCAGGCGAAGGTCCTGGTGGGGAAAGAGGGTCTTGTGAGGTTGGGGGGCTCCCAAATCCTGCTCTGGCCAGAGTCCCAGGGCTGGCCCAAGGCATTCTGGGTGCCCCGTCCCCCCTCCCCCCAAAAGCCAAGGTACAGAGTTAAGAGCCAAGGGCGGCCAGCGCTATTGGGGGGGGGGGTCTCTCCCTAGGAGAAAGAGAATTCCTCCGGTGCCTCTTCCTAGGAGTGAAAAATAATAATCATAATTTTATTATTTATACCCCACCCATCTGGCGGGGTATGCAGTAAATAATATTATTTATTGACAATAAATAATTATAGACAATAAATAGTATTAAAGTATATCTTTCTGCCCTTTCATGACACCTGAACTCAGATGTCTGAGGTGACAGCTTCACTCATCCTAACATCACCATCATCATCATCATTTGTGCCCTTCTTTTTCCATGGCAGGGACTCAAGGCAGCTCACAGATAAAAATAAGAACAACTAAAAACATGAGGGGGGCGGGGAGTGGAAAAAATCATTAAAAAACAATTAAGCTCTTTTCTTTTTCTTTCTTCCTTTCCTTTTCTCTTTCCTTCTTTTTCCACCATTTTTATCTTGTTGTATCAAAAAAAGCTTTAATAGGACTTCCGGCTGGTCGCCCGATCAATGGTGGACGGGAGCTCTGTCGGCTGAAAGAGCCACGGCGCTTTGAAGATTGGGGTGACCGTGAGAGCGTCTGAGGACCTGGTGTTCCAGCGGGTACCCTGAGCAAGTCCCCCGCTCCCCGGTAGGCTCTAAAAAGAGCCCCGAGAGCAAGCGGGGTTGGAGACGTGGGTACTGTGGAATCGACAAGCTTTCTTCACTGTGCGAAGCTCCAAGTCCAGAGATCGTGAGCAACCAATTTCTCCGAAAAAATAACTGGAAAACTGTGAGTAAAAAGGATCTAAATTTGGATACATAATTGGACAGGAAGGGATTTAAACACGGAGGTTGATCCCTTTCTGCTGAAATAAAAGTGAAAGCAGCTACCGCTGACCGAAGCCGCAACCTGAAAAAATCTTTTTTATAAAAAAAATTCAAATAAAACTTTCAAACCCCTCTTTGGGCAGGGGGAAGGGGGGGGAATTCTGACAGAACAGGAACCTTGCACTCGATAGATCTGGCAGAAAATAGACTCCCAGTGAGGGAAGGCTAGACTCCACTGTTAGGTCATAAAGGGAGAAGATACTTTCAACTTTCGTTTTCCTCTTTGGGGAATACAAAGTAACTGCAGCTGCCTGAACTGGCTAAAACATTGCATAGCTCACAGATAAAAATAAGAACAACTGAAAACATGAGGGGGGCGGGGAGTGGAAACAATCATTAAAAAACAATTAAGCTCTTTTCTTTTTCTTCCTTCCTTTCCTTTCCTCTTTTCTTTCTTCTCTCCCCCCCATTTTTATCTTGTTGTATCATAAAAAGCTTTAATAAAAAAACCGTATCTGTAATCTTTTAAAAACACGCAGATAATTACCATGGAAACAGCGCAGTCGGGCTGGCCATTCCCGTTTGAGGCAGGGCTGGCAAAATATCTGTCCACTCCTTCTTCCCAGACAGAATTTCTACTCTGAGGCGAAGGAAGGAACTCTGCACATGCTCTGAGGCACCCCCTCCATCCGCATTATGGCTGCCAGAAACTAGTTCTCCTGGGCAGCGGAGGCTTGTCCGCTGTGGGTCAGGGGGGCACTGCCCCACCAGCCTCGCTTTGCCCTCAGCCAGGCCCCACTTGTCCACTTGCCATCTTATTTGCCGCCAGCCCTGCCTGGCCGTTTCTTTCGCCTCCGGGTTACCCTTGTACATGGGTAGGCAAACTGAGGCCCGGGGGCCAGATCCAGCCCAATCGCCGCCTCAGTCCGGCCCGCGGACGGTCCAGGAATCAGCATGTTTTCACATGAGTAGAATGTGCCCTTTTACAGTGGTACCTCGCAAGACGAATGCCTCGCAAGACGAAAAACGCGCAAGACGAAAGAGTTTTCCGTTTTTTGAGTCGTTCCGCAAGACGAATTTCCCTATGGGCTTGCTTCGCAAGACGAAACGTCTTGCGAGTTCTTGCGAGTTTGTTTCCTTTTTCTTAAAGCCGCTAAGCCGCTAATAGCCGTGCTTCGCAAGACGAAAAAACCGTAAGACGAAGAGACTTGCGGAACGGATTAATTTCGTCTTGCGAGGCACCACTGTATTTAAAATGCACCTCTGGGTTATTTGTGGGGCATAGGAAATCTTTCATTATTATTTTTTCCAAAATATAGTCCAGCCCCCCACAACGTCTGAGGGACAGCGGACCGGCCCCCTGCTGAAAAAGTTTGCTGACCCCTGCCCTTGTAGAATCCAGCTGTTGACTTCTGCCTTTCTTTTCTCTTTTTAAAAAATAAATTTTATTAGTATTTCCCACACAACAACAAGAAAAATATCAAAAAATGACAATACACAAAAACCAGTATACAAAAAACCCCCAAAATCCATATATTACAAGTTAATAATATAAACACTAAAAAGAAAAACAAACATTGGCTTCCATCAATCCCAAAGCACCTCCTTGACCTCTCATTGTGTCTTCGTTTTCCTGATCATCTCTATCCTAACATCTAGATATAAATCCCTCTTTCTTATCCTTTCACTTCACAAGGTTATTCCAGACTCAGCCAGATTTCTGTCCTCGAACATCAGCTTTTAAGGTATTCATTTAGGCACTCCCATTCCTTTTTCACTTCACTTTTTGGTTTTTGTCTTATTATATCTGTCAGTTTGGCTAATTCTAAATAAATGGTTCTTCCCCTTTCTCTGCTGTCTCTGCAGTCTCTGTCTTTGCTGTTTTAAAACTCTCTGCTGGGTTATATTCACTCTTATAAGGCACCTTTGTGAAGTTTAATAACAGTTACTGTTAGTGCTGTGGGGGACTTCTGCCTTTCCTTGGCTCTGGCGCCACCTACTGGCAGCCTCCCTGCCTTCCGCCCTACCAGCAGTCGCAACCAGCTTCCCACCACTGGTTCTGGGTGCGAAATCCACCCATCCTCCTCGCCGTCCTTCCTGCAGAACAGACGTGTTTGGGACAGGGGCAGAGATCCAGGACCTGCCCCCCTCTGGCCCTGCCTGGCATGTGGGGCCGACGTCCCTCACCTTTTGGCAGTGGCCGGGCTTGCATCCCTCGCCGCCGGCGGACAGGTAGATGGCCCAGGTGCCATCGGAGGCGGCCGCCAAGGTGTAGGCGCAGCTGCCGTGGAAGCGGAAGTGTTTGCCGTCGAAGCTGCGGTAGTGGAAGCCGGCCCAGGTGGCGCAGGTGGCAAAGGGGTGGCGGTGCCGGCGGTGCCGAGCCGAGCTGACCAGAAGCGCCGTGGGGGACGGGGGACGGAGCAGGAAGGGCGAGGGCAGGTCATCTGGGGAGAAAGAGGGACGAGAGCTGTCAGAGGGGAGAGGACAAGCCTGGCAGATCACATCAGAGGAAGTTCCTTCTTTGTGCAACACAGAGTAAAACAGTGGAACTCCCTGCCACAGGAGGCTGGGATGACCGCCAACCTGGATGGCTTTAAAAGAGGATGAGGGCTATTGGGAGGGAAGTACGTTTCCGAGCACAATTCAAAGTGTTGGTGCTGACCTTTCAAGCCCTAAACGGCCTCCGTCCAGTAGACCTGAAGGAGAGTCTCCACCCCCATTGTTCTGCCCGGACACTGAGGTCCAGCTCCGAGGGCCTTCTGGCGGTTCCCTCCCTGTGAGAAGTGAGGTTACAGGGAAGCAGGCAGAGGGCCTTCTCGGTGGTGGCACCCGCCCTGTGGAACACCCTCCCTTCAGATGTGAAGGAAATAAGCAGCTATCTTCCCTTTAAAAGACACCTGAAGGCAGCCTTGTTCAGGGAAATTTTTAATGTCTGATGCTGTATTGTTTTTGATATTTGGTTGGAAGCCACCCAGAGTGGCTGGGGTGGTAATTATTATTGTTGTTGTTGTTGTTGTTTTGTTGCTATTATTATTATTATTATTATTCGCTTCTTCGCTCAAGGCTCTGGCCTGCTCAGTCATGGTCATTGAACATTAACAGATGTTTCATAGAGTCCTCGAATTGGAAGGGACCCGAGGGTCATCTAGTCCAACCCCCTTTCGCCCAGTGTGAAACGTGAACCTGTGACCCTGAAATTACAAGTTTTATGCTCCACGGGCGGAGCTGGCTCAGAAGGACCCACCTGCCGCACCCCACTGCCACCCCCTCGCCTCTTAGCGACCCCCAGGGAATTCCACTGCCCACTGCCGTAGTTCAGTGGGCACCCGGTTGGCAAAGGAGGAGGAGGAGACCTGAGGGTGCCCACCTTTCAGAGGCAGGTGGGAGCAGCTGAAGCAGAGCTGGGAGGAGCCGTTCTGCCAGCTGTGCCCCCAGGGGCGTTGGCAGCACTCCTCCATGCCCAGCAGAGAGATGTTCTGCAGTCCAGGCAGGTCTTGGCATTGCCAGGTGGAGAAGCAGCGGCCGAGAGACGCCTTTCCTGGAACGGCAGGGAAGAAAGAGATGAGAAAGGGAGAAAGAGAAACCCACACCCTCCAACATTTCTCCAGGTGAATTGAATTGAATTTTATGATTACGGTCACAGACCAGTTCCGGCTCACTTACGATATCAGAAAAATCATAAAATGCAACAGGAATACATTGAATTGCAGTCGGGTTTAACAGAGACAATTCAGATTTAACAGCAGTTAAAAATATACATTGAATCTTGAGCACTAAAATATAACCTAAAATTATCATTTAAAACATTTATCCAGTGAAAACAGGGACATCCCGTTCCATAATAATAATTTTACCATCTATACCCCACACATCTTACTGGGTTGCCCCAGACACTCTGGGCAGCTTCCAACATATATAAAAACACAATAAAACATTAAACATTTTTAAAAACCTGCCCTATACAGAGCTGCCTTCAGGTAACTCAGGGGTTGAATAACCCCATGCCCTCCAACATTTCTCCAATGAAAATAGGGGCGTCCCATTCACAAAACGACCACAAGCCTTCTTGTTAGGGATAATGTCGACTGAAATTAAAAAAGAAGCAAGACCACTCTTTATGTATGCAACATCCGCCGCCAGAATTTTAATTGCAACATATTGGAAGAACGAAATGGCACCTACAAAATCAGAATGGCAAGTTAAACTGTTAGAATATCTGCAAATGGCAAAAATGACAGGGAGGGTAAGAGGGTATTCTACGCAAAAAGTAAATCAAGAATGGATTGTATTCAAAGAATATTTGAAAAATTACTGTGACAGCAAAAACCTCCTGGCAGATCTTGAATGAGTCTTGCAATGTATAGATAATATATTTAAAACAAATGCTTCTATTTAACCTTTTTTCTTTTTATTAAATCTTTATTAGAAAGTTTTAAGGAAACAATATAATAATATGATACTGTGTAAAATATAACAAGTGTGATTTAGGTGTTGTTGTTTTTTTAGAAAAATTGGAAGTTTATTTTAGGTCTTTTTTGTTTTAAATTTCTTTTATTTTTATTTTTCTTCTGTATGGGATGTGATATAAATGGTAATATAGTATATTGATGTATAAATCTGTGAAAGATGTTCAATAAAGACTTTTCTCTGGAGAATGGGCACCCACCCACCCGCCTCTGGGGCCCATGTCTGGTGGCAGCCTTACCCTCTGAGCAATGGGGCCCGCTCCAGCCCTCACAGCAAGCGCGCACCGTGCGGTTCCAGAGCGTGGGTCTCGTGTCCTCCGGCCTGCAAGGACAGAACAGCAAAAGAAGAAGAAGAAGAAGAAGAAGAAGAAGAAGAAGAAGAAGAAGAAGAAGAAGATGATAAAGCTCTGATTTCTCACGTCCTGTAGGAGAGGAGGACAAGAAACTGGCTCAAGTTGTAGGGCTGTTTATCCCAACGTACGTAAAACAGCCGTGCTCCACGACTGAAGTCGATCTTCCCAAATAATCATCACCCTTCGTCTTTATAGAGAGCTTTTCCAAAGCGTTTGCAGCACCTGCCTTACCTGGAAACCCTGAGGACATCCCCGTCAGGTGGTCCCCACCCTTTGCAATACAATGGTACCTTTGGTTCTCAAACTTAATCCATTCCGGAAGTCTGTTCCAAAAGCAAAGCGTTCCAAAACCAAGACACACTTTCCCATAGAAATTAACCCAAAACGAATTAATCCGTTCCAGACTTTTAAAAACAACCCCTAAAACAGCAATTTAACATGAATTTTACTATCTAACGAGAGCACTGATCCATAAAATGAAAGCAATAATCAATGTAAAGGTACAGTGGTGCCTCGCAAGACGAAATTAATTCGTTCCGCAAGTTTCTTCTTCTTGCGAGTTTTTCGTCTTGCGATGCACGGTTTCCCATAGGAATGCATTGAAAATCAATTAATGCGTTCCTAGGGAAACCGACTTCAGACCAGGTCCGGGGACAGTCTGTCCCCCGACCTCTTCTGAAGGCTGGGGGGGGACAAGGCCTTTTCTTCCCACCCCCAGCATTTTAAAAAACCCCGGGACAGCGGAGGGCTTCTCCGCTGTCCGGGGCGATCTTAAAATGCTGGCAGGCGGCATTTTAAAATCGCCCCAGGACAGCGGAGGGACTTCTCCGCTGTCCGGGGCGATTTAAAAGCCCCTGGGAAGGCAGGCAGGGGGGACAAAGACTTTTGCCCCCCGCCAGCCTTCAGAAGAGGTCCTGGACCTCTTCTGAAGGCTGGCGGGGGCGAAAGTCTTTGCTCCCCCCGCCTGCCTTCAAAAGCTGTCCGGCCAAGGCTTCGCGGACCTCTGCCAGCATGCCGAAGCCTGCGCGCGCTGACATCAGCGCGCCCAGGCTTCGCGTACCGCTCCGCCAGCAGCGGCTGACATCAGCGCGCCCAGGCTTCGCGGACCGCTCCGCCAGCAGCGGCTGACATCAGCGCGCCCAGGCTTCGCGGACCGCTCCGCCAGCAGCGGCTGACATCAGCGCGCCCAGGCTTCGCGGACCTCTCCTGCCTTCAAAAGCCGTCCGGGATAGCGGGAAGCGCTTCCCTGCTATCCCGGACTGCTTTTAAAATGCTGGCGCTGGGGAGCAAAGCCTTTCGGCCCCCGCCAGCCTTCCTGGACCTCTTCTGAAGGCCGGAGGGGGGGGGGAAGGCTTTGCTCCCCACCGCTAGCATTTAAAAGAGGTCCCCGGAGATTTCCCTATGGGCTTTCGTCTTGCGAAGCAAGCCCATAGGGAAATTCGTTTTGCGAAGCGCCTCCAAAACGGAAAACCCTTTCGTCTAGCGGGTTTTCCGTCTTGCGAGGCGTTCGTCTTGCGGGGTACCACTGTAAAGGCAAAGGTACCCCTGACTGTTAGGTCCAGTCGCGGACTACTCTGGGGTTGCGGCACTCATCTCCCCCTACTGGCCAAGGGAGCCGGCGTTTACCTGCAGACAGTTTTTCTGGGTCATGTGGCCAGCATGACTAAGCCGCTTCTGGCGAAACCAGAGCAGTGCACGGAAACGCCGTTTACCTTCCTGCCGGAGCGGTACCTATTTATCTACTTGCACTTTGATGTGCTTTCGAACTGCTAGGTTGGCAGGAGCTGGGACCGAGCAATGGGAGCTCACCCCGTCGTGCGAATTCGAACCTCCGACATTCTGATCGGCAAGTCCTAGGCTCTGTGGTTTAACCCACAGCGCCACCCAGGACGTCCTAAGGAAAAGCAGGACACTCAGAAACCAGGACGGCTTCTCCAAATCAGGGACGTCCCTGGAAAATAGGAGCACTTAGAGGGTCTGCCTCGATTCTCCCACCCTCTTCTAGCTCATGCTAGGGGGGTCCTCCCCTTCTCCCTGCCCACCCCCCCAGCCGCCCTACTCACTTGTAGATGTAGCACATGCTGGTGGTGCCAGTCTGGCCTTCTGCCCTGCCGTGAGCCTGGCGCATCCGGTCCTGGTCGAGGTGCCAGCCCGCCATGTTGTACTGGTAGACATCGGCGCAGGGCACCATCTCCTCCCGCCGGGGGCTGACCACTTCCTCCTCCATCACCTGCACCATCCTCTCGCACCAGCGCCTGTGGGGGAACAAAGCCCTTGAGGGAGCAGCAGCTGAGTGCCAGCCGGGCACCCTTGGCCTTCCTGCCCAGGACCTCCATGCCAGCCTTCTCCTGACTGGGGGGCAGTGTCAGATTTATGTATAAGCTGAACAAGCTATAGCTCAGGGCCCCACTCTCTTGGGGCCCCCCAAAAAATTAAAGGACAAAACCTGGATGTACATTTCCAAAATATAAGATAAAAAGCAAATAAAACAAAACCTACATCCAGCAATAGTGTTTGTGTATTGTGTAGGCTCCTGTGATGTAAGTCATGGGCTCCACCTGCTAGCCTGCTCCCTCAAATATCCCTGGTTTGCTCCTTTCTATATATAGGGTGCCTACATTCTGCTAGTTATAATTATTAGTAGTTTGCATCATATATTTACACCTATTATTATTTCATGTTATAGCAAGTTTCTAGAGACTAGGCGATGAGTCCTTATAAATTGTGTTTCTAAAGGAACTTTTGTTCTTGCCAAATGACAATGTGTTTGCATTATTAAGTTTGTTATTGTAGCAGGAACCCCCCCACCCCAATCATTCTGTTTGTGCAAACTTGACACACACACTCACTCACACCTACATACGCCACATTTCTGTTATAAATTCATAGAAAATCAACCATACATCAGATTTGCACTGTTCCATTTTATTTTACTCCATATGACAAGAACTATCAGAGGGGGGTGGCTTTGTCCTGGTCAGCCATAATCCCTTCACTGTCTCAGCACATCTGCAGGAGCCCTGCCCAGTTGCTATGCCAACCCTGATGATCCCAGACAGAAGACAATCAAAATCACAAAGAACTTGCATATGGGAGTGGATTCAGCATGGACTGAAACAAAGGACAATGATCAGATCTTCCCTCAGGGGGCAGGAAACTGCAAACTCCCCTTTGTCTCCTGGAAGTGACTCATGGGGAGGGGGGAAAGGAGGAACCAGCCAGGTGACAAGATACTCAGGTTACCACCAACTCCTCCCTCAACCCCTCCTTTCTGTAATGTATGCATGATGTTTCTGGGGGTGGGCTTGACCTGGAGGATGGGAATTTCAAAAGTTTTTATAAGGTCTTGCAGACCATCTTTGGGGGTCTTTCCTCTCTCCTGCAAGTGAGGGGAACACCCTGTTGCAACAGTTCAATAAAGGCCAAGCCTACAGGCTGCTGTTTTGCTCCAAGTTATCCTGGTTGGTGTCTTTGTTTTTGTCCAAGGGAGCCCTCGGATTTTTCCGGTAACATTATGAAAAAAATTCATTTTAAGTTAGAGCTTAATAATTATTTCACTATTAATATACTTCTTCGTTGTATTTCAGTTCAACAATGACTTTGATAAAATACGTATTTTGTTGTGTGCAGTTGGCTTGAGATACCTATGAGGTCCATAAATGACCCTATAGCATAGATTCAACACAAAAAAACAGTGACAATTTGTTGTTGACAAAGGACAGCTGGACTTGTAAAGGGCCCCATTACCTTCAGTAGCTGAGGGCCGCATCAAACCTAAATCTGGCCCTGAAGAAGTGGCATCAAGTTTCTCAAGATGATTCTTACCTGCCTTCGCAGGCAGGAGCCAAGGAAGCTCATTGGCTTCAATAGGTTTACTCTGGACCCCTTAGGCCACATCTGCCACCATTCAACTAAAGCACATGGGTACCACTTTGAACAACCATGCTGTTATAAGAAAAAAACCTGCTCCTTTTCCCTTATGGGGTATCCAAGAGCCCATACAGAGTCCTTAAGTGGGTTCCCTATTGGTAGGAGATAGTAACAGAGGCCAACCAGAGAATATTGAGAAGCAAAGCAGCTAGTAAGCCTGATCTTTATTAAACTGTTGCAACAGGGTCCCCATTCTCCACACGCAGGAGGGAGGAAGAGAACCCCGAGCCATGCACACAAGCCCTTATATAGACTTTTGAAATTGCCACCCTGTAGCTCAAGGCCACCCCCCAAAACATCATACATACATCAATGAAGGGGTGGTCTTTTTCTTATATGTTTTAAAATTTAATAAATATTATATATATAGTTGCATTTTCTATTTTACACAAACAGATTAAAAACACAAACATATACATATGTTTTTAATAAATATTATTTTTTAATTTATAATAGTGAAATGATAAAGGAAAAATACACACACACACACACACACACACACACACACACAAAATAAGTACTAACAGCGCCCGCACAGACATGGACAGCCCCAGAAGGAGGATGGGGGGGGGGAGGCATCCGTTCCTTACCCGTCATCCAGCGCCAGAGTCTCCCAGAGGCAGAGCCATGCCAAGGTGCCCAGGACCAACCTGTGGCAAGGCCTGGGGGGACGCGCTGCCTCCTGCATCTCTTGGGAGGGAGGGCGCCGCTTGTGGAGTCTGGGCCGGCCAGCCTGTCCCTGGAGAGAAGGAGGGTATTATTATCCTAATACATATGCAAATATTAATAGCCTCCAAATTGGTCTGGAGAAACTCAACACGGCGTTCTGTTGGACACCCCCCTATCCAACTGGAGAAAGTGGACAGGGGAAAAAAAGTTTTCCTCCCTCTCTAATAAACACCAGAACTCGTGGACTTTCAATTAAGTTGAATGTTGGAAGATCTGAATCCAGGAGAAAGTCTTTCTTCACACAGCGCATAGTTGAACGATGGAACTCCCTGCCACATGAGGCAGAGATGGCCAACTTAAACAAAGATTGGACAAATTAATTGAGAATAAAGCTGTCTGTGACTACTAGCCGCAATGGCTATGCTGTCCCTCTACAGAGGCAGCACTGAATCCCAGTAGCTTGAAGCCACAAGGGAGCAGTGGTCTTGTGTTCGAATCCTGATTGTGGGTGTCCCAGAAAAGCCATCTGGGTGGCCACTGTCAGAACAGGAAGCTGGACTAAATGGGACATTGGCCTGATCCAGAAGATGCTCTTCTTCGTTTCTTATGTTCAAAGTGTTCCCCAACAACCCAAAACTCCCTTGTTTTGGAAAGGGGAGAATAAATTGAGTCTCCCCTCCAGGCACCATCGGGTCTCAAACTCCACCCCAGTGCAAGTCCCTCCAGCCCACTCTGCAGACCCCCCCCCCCACTTACCTGATGCTCCAGCGGAGGGGTGGGCAAGGCGGAAAGATCTCTGCTCCGGGGGACAGGAACTGAAGAGAGCAGAAGACGGCTCCTTGGGATGGGGGCATTTATAGCCTGCAAGAGTCGCCAGCTTGGGAACATCTGGAGCGTCTGGGATTGGAGCATTCTTCCCCCACGTCAATGCAGCTTTCTGGGTTCAGTCTGCCCAGTCAGATGGAAACCCCCCACAGGCCCCCCTTCTCCCCCCCCCCATCCCAGGATCCAGAGCCTGTATCCAGGAAAGAATCTGGCCACACAATTTGCCGGGGTGGGAGGGTGGAGGTGATAGAGGGTCTTCAGATGCCCTTCCCATCTCCTCCCCTTTTGCTCCTGGGGGTTCTGCACAATCTCGCCTGCCCTCCCTCTGTCTCCTGCCTCTTAAAACAGTTTGTTTTTTTTAATGATTTCTTAACAAAACAGAAAAGTGCAAACGTAACGAAAGGAAAGAATCAGAAATGTAAGCCATCAAGCGTCACAGCCCAGGAGGAGAAACGTGAAAAGATGCAGGGGTGAATTCTAAGTTAATAAGCGTTAAGGAGAAATTACGCTCTAAAATGTACAGGATTTTGTTGGATTGGTCAGTGAAAGATGAGGAAGTAAAATCAGCGACGATTCAATGGGCTAGAGATTTTGGATATAACATTCAAAGGTCAGCATGGGATAAACTTTGGAGAGAGAATCTAAAGTTCATGGTGTGTTACACTCTTAAAGAAAACTACAGCGGTACCTCGGTTTAAGAACAGTCCTGTTTACGAACAATTCGGTTTACGAACTCTGCAAAACCGGAAGTAGTGTCCCGGTTTGAGAACTTTACCTCGGTCTAAGAACGGAAGCCGAACGGTGGAAGGGCACTGGCAGCGGAAGGCCGTATTAGGGAAAGCACGCCTCAGTTTAAGAACGGTTTCGGTTTAAGAACAGACTTCCGGAACGGATTAAGTTCGTAAACCGAGGTACCACTGTATTTGAAAATGCTGTATCGATGGTATTTGACACCCAGCAAGTTTACAAAAATGTACAGAACCAGCTCTAACTTGTGTTGGAAATGCAAAGAAATAGAAGGAACTATGTACCATATGTGGTGGGAATGCAAAAAGATAAAGGAATTTTGAGATATGATTTACAATGAGCTTAATTTTTTTTTAATTTACCTTTGCCAAAAAAAACCCTGGAGCCTTTCTTCTAGGTATTATAGGTGTAGATATACCGCAAGATTTGAGGACGTTATTCATGTATGCAACCACGGCCGCAAGAATGCTATTAGCCCAATGCTGGAAAAGAGATAATACCAACAAAAATGGAATGACAGGTGAAATCATTTGAGTACGGTGAGATGGCAAGATTATCAGAGAAAATTAAGAATCACGGCGACCAAAAATTTAACAGAGAGTGGGATAAATACAGACAATACCCAAGAGATCACTGCAAACACCTGAAATCTTTGGCAGGCCTTGAATGACTCCTGCAATGTGACGTAACTTATGGAAATAATGGATAAATATAAACTAGACATTATTCAATATGCAGTTAATACATAAATGTAGAGGACCCATGTTGGGGTAGAGGAAAGTCTCAATACTTCACTATGCAACTTTCCTTTATTTTTCCAACGCTTCAGTATTTCTTTTGTGTATATTTTTGATGGAGAAGGATAACTGTGATGTATTTTAAAAAACCAATAAAGATGAAAATGCAGAAATTCAAGTTAATAGGTTTATTGTTCTAGCCAAAAGCCATGACTAACGTGCATTTGGCAATAGTGTTAATAAATAATACAGAACACCCATCCATCATATAAAAATCCGTAATATGACATAAAAGGAGGGCTGCCCCACCTGCTCAGTGGCCCGGAGGTGTTTTTGTGTCCCTAGGATGTGCCGCTGGGGGTCTCTGAGCTACTGAGCCCAGACTTTGTCTGCAGAGGCCTCCCTGCTGGCATTTCCATCACGCTTTCCTGCCCCAAACACGGATCTGGGCTTATCCCTACTTCCTGGTCTCCAGCTCATCTCTGCAAAGAATTCAAAGCCCCCAGCAGGTCACTTGCTCTCCTTTGGTCCAGGTTGTCATTCACCCACACACAAACACACACACACACCGCCCCATGTCCCCTTGATATGTGCAATGCTGGAACAGAAGGAAATTATTTGTGTGTGTTTGATCATTTTTATTTGCAATTTCCATTGTTACAATGAAATATGATGCATTATTATTATTATTATTATTATTACCATCTTCTTCTTCTTCTACTTCTTCTTTGGCAATCACTCGTAGCCGAGTAAGATTGTCTTCCATAAACACGGTTTTAACAATGAGTCCGTAAGTGACTGTGAAGGCCAATTCTGGATCCACACGTCCTTCCACAGTGGGGACATTGGTTTCCGGGCAGGAGTTTATCCCGGTGAGGGCTTGCCAAGTGTGCCTTCCTCTTAGCACGTTTCTCCCTTGCGTCCAGAGTTCGAGTGTCTTCAAAGCCCAGGACACCTTTGGTCAAGGCTGTTCTCCAACTGGACCTTTCGCAGGCCAGCGTTTCCCAGTTGTCAGTGTTTATACTACATTTTTTAAAAGATTTGCCTTGAGAGAGCCTTTGAACCTCTTTTGTTGACCACCAGTATTACACTTTCCATTTTTAAGTTTGGAATAGAGTAGTTGCTTTGGAAGACGATCATCAGGCATCCGCACAACATGTCCAGTCCAACGAAGTTGATGTTGAAGAATCATCGCTTTGACACTGGTGATCTTTGCTTCTTCCAGTACGCTGGTATTAGTTCACCTGTCTTCCTGATGATGTGTAAAATTTTTGGAGACACTGTTGATGGAACCTTTCAAGGAGATGGAGATGGCATTTATAAGTGCTCCATGTTTCACAAGCATACAGTAAGGTTGGTAGTACAACAGGTTTGTAAACAAGCATTCTGGTTTCCTTGCAAATGTCCCGGTCCTCAAACACTTGCGCTTCAATTGGCAGAAAGCTGCACTCGCAGAGCTCAGGTGATGCTGGATTTCGGCCTCAATGTCAGCCCTTGTGGAAAGGTAACTGCCCAGGTAGGAGAAGTGACCGACATTTTCCAATATTACACCATTGAGTGTAATGTAATTATTATTATGTAACATAATTATTACTATGCCACCCATCTGACTGGGTTGCCCCGGCCACTCTGGGTGGTTTCCAAGAAATTAAAACATCAAACACAGTGAAACATCAACCAGGAACAAAGTCAGGCAAACTTCCTTTTCTCTGTCCTGAATTCTCCAACATTCAACTTCATCGGATGCCCACGATTTCTCGTGCTGTGAGAGAGGGAGGAAAACTGATCTTTCTCCGCTTTCTCCATGACGTGCATGATTTTTAAAATTTCTATCATGTTCAATAAAATTCTATCATGTTGGTCTTATTCTCCAGGCATGGCCAGGCAACCTGTTTACTGAGCATGCATCCTGACTGGTTTGCAGAGAGGTTAGATGCTGGCTCTCACATTTTCCAGCGGATTTCCCCAAAACGTTCCTCATGGCCCAAAAGTCCGGTCTTCTGGGCAAGCGGGTTGGTTGCACAAGAGCTTGCCACCCACAATAATTGCACAACCTGAAATTGATCGTATGAGATCGAATCCCGCAGTCTGGAAGTTCCCTCGTGTTACGTGGGAGGAAGGAAGTCTGGAATCGAGATGGGAAAAGCTTCTGAAAAAGGTCCCCAAAATGGTCCAAGGGATGGAGAGACTATGAGGAATGGTTGCAGAATTTTTTAGTTTAGTGAAAAGCTAAGAGGTGACATGACAGCAGTTCATAAAATTCTGTGTGTCCTGGAGAAAGCAGATGGAGAAAAGGTTTTCTCCCTCTCTCATCACGCCCAAACTCAAGGATGGATGTTGGAAAAATCAGCTTAGTTTAGCTCTGCGCTTCTTCACGCAGCGCGGAGTTAAACTATGGAACTCTCTGACACAGGAGGCAGGGATGGCCAGCCTCCAGATGGCTTTAAAAGAGGACTGCGCAAATTCAGGGAGGAAGAGAAGGCTGCTGAGAGCTACTAGCCACGATGAGAACAGGATGCCGGACCAGATGGGACCTTGGCTTGATCCAGAAGGCTCCTCTTATGTTCAAATGGGCTGTTCTGTTAAAAGACAGACAAAGGAACCCACAGCAGAGAGGAAAAGGAAGCATCAGGAGAGGGTTTGCCACCTGGCACCAAGAGGGCTTTATGGGAGAGCTGGACCATAAAGAAGGCTGATCGCCGAAGAATTGATGCTTTTGAATGATGGTGCTGGAGGAGACTCTTGAGAGTCCCATGGACTGCAAGAAGATCCAACCTCTCCATTCTGAAGGAAACCAGCCCTGAGTGCTCACTGGAAGGACAGATCCTGAAGCTGAGGCTCCAAGACTTTGGCCACCTCATGAGAAGAGAAGACTTCCTGGAAAAGACCCTGATGTTGGGAAAGATGGAGGGCACAAGGAGAAGGGGACGACAGAGGACGAGATGGTGGGACAGTGTTCTGGAAGCTACCAGCATGAGTTTGACCAAACTGTGGGAGGCAGTGGAAGACAGGAGTGCCTGGCGTGCTCTGGTCCAGGGGGTCACGAAGAGGCGGGCACAAATAAATGATGAAACAACAACCAAGAGGGCAGTGGAGATTCCTTCCTGAGCCTGGCCAGGGATTGCCATCTAAGTCCAAAGGGGAAAGTCTCTCCCCTTCTGCACACATTCTCCTTCCAAACCATCGGATCAGAGCATCCATCCTGCCTCTCCCTTGCGGTGCATTTTGGGAAGCGTAGTCCAGGCTTTGGGTGCAGCATGTCCAGAACACCCCTTCCTTATCGCCAGCACCAGCCTTGAGTTCTTTTATCCAAAGGGCATTTAGACATATGGCAGGCAGGCAGGCTGCAATCATCCTCTGCATTTATTTCCCAGGGATCAGCTCCCAACGAAATCACGAGCGGGAAGCGACTGCACAGTGCTTTGGGACATTTAACTTGGAGCGAAGGGGGCGCCAGTTGGAAGGCCTCCTCCCCCAGCCTGCCTTTAGCAGCACAGCAGCTTGGCAGGCAGGAATCCAACTGGCAAAGCTCCATGTCAAAAATAGGCCATCGACTAAATTTCAGAAGGTGCTATGAGAGGCGCTTTGGCAGTGAATGTGGTGTTCTTCCAGGAAAAACTTACCTTGGCGTTCCTTCTGAACTTAGCATTGAACATTTTATTTTATGCTAGTGGGTGTTTTTTAGGGGGGGTAAGAAATCTGGATTTATTTATCTTTTGAAGGACATGGGATTCAAGGTCAGGCAAAAGAACAGCTCTAAAAAGACTAGGTCTGTAGCACCGCGTGGATGCATCCCTCCAGCTGATTTGCGTGTTGAATTCCAGCACGACAACCTCAAACAGACTGAGCCATTGGCAGCGGTGGTAGAGTGGTTAGAGTCATGAGGACCTTAGCTGGTGGCAGCCTGCAGGATCAGGCAAACATCTCATCTGGTCCAGGATCCTGTTCTCACAGTGGCCAACCAGGCGCCTCTTCTGGGAAACCCACAAGCAGGATTCGAACACAAGAGCAACTCTCACCTTCTGTGGTTTCCAGCAAGTGACCTTTCCACTATACAGTTCTGTGATTCCTGGGCATAGCCAGGATTTATTTGGGGGGGGGCAGGGTTTACATGGGGTGGGGGCAGAACCAAGTTATCTGCGAAGCAATTGGTCAGTTATTTAAGTATTTTGATTTTGATTTACTTGATTATAATATAATAATAATAATAATAATAATAATATAGGGACGTGGGTGGTGCTGTGGGTAAAACCTCAGCACCTAGGACTTGCCGATCGACAGGTCGGCGGTTCGAATCCCCGCAACGGGGTGCGCTCCCGCTGCTCGGTCCCAGTGCCTGCCAACCTAGCAGTTCGAAAGCACCCCCGGGTGCAAGTAGATAAATAGGGACCGCTTACTAGCGGGAAGGTAAACGGCGTTCCGTGTGCAGCTCTGGCTCGCCAGAGCAGCGATGTCACGCTGGCCACGTGACCCGGAAGTGTCTCCGGACAGCGCTGGCTCCCAGCCTCTATAGAGTGAGATGGGCGCACAACCCTAGAGTCTGTCAAGACTGGCCCGTACGGGCAGGGGTATCTTTACCTTTACTAATCATAATCATAATAATAATAATTTATTATTTATACCCTGCCCATCTGGCTAGGTTTCCCCAGCCACTCTGGGTGGCTTCCAACAAAATATTAAAATACAGTAATGCATCAAACATTAAAAGCTTCCCTGAACAGGGCTGTCTTCAGATGTCTTCTAAATGTCAGGTAGTTGTTTATCTCTTTGACATCTGATGGGAGGGCGTTCCACAGGGCGGGTGCCACCGCCGAGAAGGCCCTCTGCCTGGTTCCCTGTAGCTTTGCTTCTCGCAGTGCGGGCCCTCGGAGCTGGACCTCAGTGTCCAGGCAGAACGATGGGGGTGGAGACGCTCCTTCAGGTATACTGGGCCAAGGCCGTTTAGGGCTTTCAAGGTCAGCACCAACACTTGGTTCATTGGGGGGGGCACCTGCCCCCACCCTGGCTACGCCCATGCTATGGTTCTTGGTTGCTGGTCTATAATAGACCTTGGCCTAATCCAGCAGAACAGCTTATATTTTTACAGGGCCACCCCCCCCCCAACACGGCAGGGCTGGCTTGCCAGGTTTTGCAGTAAGTGTAAGGCAACACACTGCCAACCTAAAAAGCCCCCAGCGCGTTGCAAGCGAAAAGCCCTAAAGTTACCTAACTGATCACTGACCATAATGAAGAGATGGGTTGACGGAGGGACCCCTAACCGCAGCACAAGCGTCTATCACGTGTAACATGTCTTGCACCTGAGAACCTGGGATGTAGTCCACCAGATCTTCTTCTGCCAAACTCAGCAATCTGCTAGTCCCTAAGGCACCAGCAGATTCTCCACCCCCCCCCAAGATTTCCTTCCTCTATCTCATACCCTCCCACATTTAGCAAATGAAAATAGGGACGTTCTTTTCAATATTATAATTATTATAATTATTATTATTTTATTTATACCTCACACATCTTATTGGGTTGCCCCAGCCACTCTGGGTGTATAAAACATAGACATATATAAAAACATAATGAAACATTGAACGTATACAATAACATAATAAAACATCGAACATTAAAAAAACTTCCCTATACAGGAGAGAATGGCGTTAGTTGGACCACCCACAACCAAGGAGATAAGTAAGTACAGCATACAGCCTTTCGAAGGCATCTGTATAGGGAACTTGTTTATTGTTTTATTATGTTTTTATATATTTTGGAAGCCGCCCAGAATGGCTGGGGAACCCAGTCAGCTATTATTATTATTATTATTATTATTATTATTATTATTATTATTATTATTATTATTAGACGTCGCTATTCTAATGGCGGAGGGTGTGCGCTTCTGCTCTCCTCCTCAATCCACTAGTCCTTAAGGAGCCCCCGATTGCTGGTGCGCGCGCAGCTGGTTCCAGCTGGCTCCCTCCGCGCGCCCCCCTCGCCGCCTTGCAAGCCGACGGAAGCACGAAGCGCTGAATTGCAAAGCTCTTTCTTTCTCTCTCTCCACCCCCACACCCCCCCCGAGCCCGGTGCCTGCTGGGAGATGTAGTTCCCCTCTCCGTCCGCCGAGCAGGGCAATCCGGCGGCGCGCACGGCCAGCAGGCGGAACCAGCCCGTTTTGCAAAAACCGTCTCTCTCCTCCTCCCATTTTTTTTTTGGGGGGGGGTCTTTGCAAGCGGGATCGCGGGGTGGGGGTGCGGTGCAAGCTTTCTCCCGAGGAGCCGGCCCCGATCCTTCCGCGCGGCAACCCCCTTGGGGCGTAGGGCCCGGGTGCGCGCACCTTCCCTTTCTGCAGGGTCTTCCTTCCCACGCCCCGCGCACCCACAGTTTTTTGGAGGGGAGTGTGTGCTTGTGTGTGCGCGCGCTCGCGCCCTTCCCTCTCCTCGCGCAGCCCAGGATCGGGCGCAGGAGGTGGGCGCGCTGCGGAGCCTGCCGCTCCCCCCAGGATCCGGGCCCACGGATGGCCGTCGGGGCTGCCGCGCAGGTAAGGCGGAGGCGGAGGAGTTCAGCTGCTTTGATGTGGCCGAGAGGCAATTAGTCCTCATTTGCATGTCTTCCGGGCCCCAGATGCCACCCAGGGAGGAGGAAAATCAGCCCTCGGGGGTCAAATCTTCGGGAGGGGCGCCCGGGGGGCCCCGGAGCCGGGCATCCCGGCTGCGCGTTGGCAAAGGGGCGCAGGGGTCGTCCGGCAGAGGAGAAGTGTCAAAATAACTCCACCCCCCCCCTTTTGGTTCAAAGTGCACATGGCTAAGGCCACGATCCTGCACCAGTCGCCTTGCAATGAATCCTAGAATGGTAGAGTTGGAAGGGACCCTGAGGGTCATCCATTCCAGCCCCCTGCAATGCAGAATCTTCTGCCCAATGCGGAATTCGAACCCGCCACCCTGAGATTAAGTGTCTCGGGCACTAACAACAGGGGAGGTTTGCATGGCGGAGCGTCCCAACAGGGTTGTGGCCTTAGGGTCGAACTTCCACAGAGGTGCAGGAGGAGACCCGCAGGGGTCACCCGGCCCAGCCCGCCTGGCAGGGCAGGATTCGCACCTGAATCATAGAAATGTAGTCGGAAAAATCGCAGGTCGCCAAGCCCAGGGGACACAAATTTGAGGCGATCCGTAATTGAGAATTTCCCTTTGGGGCCACTGAGTTTTGGCCTCGCTCAGGGCACCATATGAGCAAAGTCTGCCCCAATTCAAAGGGACCCCCTGTGTCATCTAGTCCACCCCCCTGGAATTTCGGCTAAAGCGTCCCTGACGGATCCAACCTCTGCCTCAAAGCCTACACGGAAGGGGAGCCCACAACCTCCCTCAGAAAGTTCTTTCTGGAGCCAGAATCTCCTTTAAGTTGAATCTGTTCCCAGTGGGGCAGGGGAAAAGAAGCTCAAAGAAACATTAGAAGTAAAAAACTGCCCCTTATTTTCTCAGCGGTGAACTGCAGGAAGCTCTGGGTTTTCCCTGCCCTCAGAAACCCTTCCTTCTAACCTTCATGCGTCACGGGTGCAACGGCTCGTTAGTTTGGGGCCATGAATAATATTTTATGCAGCAGTCCGGGCGCTTAAATGGAAAGGGAATCTTGATTCGAAGGCACTTTTTAAAGCAGAGGTTTTTATATAAGTGGAGCATAAATCAGTTGTTTGCCCCGCGCTCGAGGGCGCTTAATTATATGCCTTTCTCCAGCCTGTCATTATGAATATCGCTGTTTTGCTCAAGGGATATTTCAGGTGGGGAGTTGGAAGCCAACCGCTGTTCAGGTGTCCTGGGCGATAATAACCTTGGCGTTTACTTAACCGCGGTGCTGTAACTCGTGTGGCATCTTCTCATCACGAGGCTCCAGCTCAACCGAACAGCCGCTTGCAGTTTATAAAGCGAGATTCGGCAGAGGTTGGGCGTTGAGCCCCATTCCCTTTGGGGAAAACATGACAGGCGACAGAACCTAGGAAGCTCATTTCACAGCCTTTTTGGACCTTTGAGGATCTAAGCCATGGGGAGGCAAACTGAGGCCCAGGGGCCGGATCCGGCCCATTCGCCTTCTCAATCTGGCCCGCGGACGGTCCGGGAATCAGCGTGTTTCTACACGAGTAGAATGTGCCCTTTTCTTTAAAATGCATCTCTGGGTTATTTGTGGGGCATAGGAATTGGCTCATTATTTTTTTTCAAAATATAGTTTGGCCTCCCACAAGGTCCGAGGGACAGTGAACCGGCTCCCTGCTGAAAAAGTCTGCTGACCCCAATCTAAGCTTTAACTTTATGTAAAGATTTTTTCTTTTAATAGTTCCTATGGGTAAAGACGGGACGCGGGTGGCGCTGTGGGTAAAAGCCTCAGCGCCTAGGACTTGCCAATCGCATGGTCGGCGGTTCGAATCCCCACGGCGGGGTGCGCTCCCGTCGTTAGGTCCCAGCGCCTGCCAACCTAGCAGTTCGAAAGCACCCCCGGGTGCAAGTAGATAAATAGGTACCACTCCGGCAGGAAGGTAAACGGCGTTTCCGTGCGCTGCTCTGGTTTGCCAGAAGCAGCTTAGTCATGCTGGCCTATAGAGTGAGATGAGCGCACAACCCTAGAGTCTTGCAAGACTGGCCCGTACGGGCAGGGGTACCTTTACCTTTACCTTTATGGGTAAAGACATGGGGAGGCAAACTGAGGCCCGGGGGCCGGATCCAGCCCAATCGCCTTCTCAATCCAGCCCATGGACGGTCTGGGAATCAGCGTGTTTTTACATGAGTAGAATGTGTGCTTTTATTTAAAATGCATCTCTGGGTTATTTGTGGGGCAGAGGAATTCGTTCATTCCCCCCCCCCCCAAAAAAAAATAGTCTGGCCCCCCACAAGGCCTGAGGGACAGTGGACCGGCCCCCTGCTGAAAAAGTTTGCTGAGCCCTGCTCTAACCATTACACCCTGGCTTTTTGTGAAAGCTGCCTGGGCACCCTGCCTGGGGATATGGTGGGCTATGCAAAAATACAAAGAAAATAGCTATCATCATTTGGATTTGAGCCATGCTAGGCCCCCTTAACAGTCGCTGGCGGACCAGTTGCAGAAATACTGCAAAACACATACAAAAACACTCAGATTTGTTTTAAGGATTTGTATTAAGTTTTTCATCTATGCTAAAACTCAGTCTAAGTTTGTTTGTTTTAAAAAAAAGTTTAACCACATCAGTTAACAAACATGGATACATATGCTATACTGTTATTGCTTTAGTTAAATGAATTGTTTAAATTGTTTTTAAGGAAATGGTTATTTCTCTCCTTCCAATAAAGTACTGCAGAAAAGTTGTCCACATATAAACAGTTCACTTATTAAACCTCACAATAATTTCATAATTATCTGTCTATGTATTTCTAACAGTATAACCAAATCAATAATTTTTGATATAACTGTAAAAACTACTCTGGAAATTTATTATTCCGAAAATGAAACCTTCCTCTGGTTGTAAATATTAATATTATACCAGCAAGAATGAGTCTTTCTGTTAAAAAAAAAAACAGATTTAAATCAAGTCTTTCTGACTAGTGATTTAAATCAAGTCTTACTAGTGATTTAAACCATGATTTAAACTGGTTTGATTTTAATCAAATCCACCCTGTTTGCAACACATCAAAACATCAAATATACAGTGATCCAGAATAAAAGAAATGCAAGCTTCAAGGAGGGTATTTCAGGTGCTTCTCTTAAGGGACATCTTGCTTTTCCCAGTCGCCAGCCTGTCAACCGGTCGTAAAATGTGCCTGGCACCCGGCTGATTTCTCACCCTGCCTGACTTGCCAGGTTGCTGTGGGGGTTAAACAAGGAGCAGGTAAAACCACGTGCGCCACCCAGAGCTCCTGGGAGAAAAAGGTGGGATTATGGAAACAGGAGCTGGGGGAATAGCAGAGCTGAGATTTCCCAGTTTCCACCCCAGCTCAGGGGTACCAGTACAGATGATGATAATAATAATAATAATAATAATAATAATAATAATAATAATAATAATAATAATAATTTATTTATTTATACCCTACCCTTCCCAGTTCAGAAAACTGGGCTCAGGGCGGCTAACAACAAATTTATTGATGCAACAAAAAACAGCATAAAATACAGTATAAAATGTGAATAACAATAAATTCAGAATTCAAAAATCAATTTAGGGGGGAAATCCATCCAATAAACATTAGATGATCACCAGGGCTAGCTGGCTAAATGAGTCCTACTTGGGCCAGCGAGGAGGCCAGGGGAGAATTAGCTGTGGGGTCTCAGAGCGGGTAATCTTCATAAAAAGGGAGGGGAGGGGAATAAAAGATCAGGCTAAGTTCAAATTGAAAGCCAGGCGGAATAGCTCTGTCTTACAGGCCCTGCGGAAGGAAGTTCAATCCTGCAGGGCCCTGGTCTCGTGGGACAGAGCATTCCACCAGGTCGGAGCCACCACTGAGAAGGCCGTGATTCCTGACTTGCCCCATTTCCTTGCAGGTGCCAGTGCGGTGTGAGGACGCGGCCCTGTATCTTGCCCCTGAGCGCTGGAAGGAGTGGGCAACACATGAAGACGCCATGCGGGAGAATTACGGCGCCACCATCGCTTTGGGTAAAACAAGGACGCTTTTTCACCCTCCTCCTCCCTGCCCACAACCTGATCTCCTGTGGAATGAATGTGTGGAGCTTTTTTCCAGACCTGATATGGGGAAATGGAAGCCTGGAGGGTGGGGGGCAAATACAGTCTTCAGGGGCAGCCCCACATACAGCACATTGCAGCAGTCTAATCTGAGCATGGGGTGCATTGACCAAGTCATCTCTTGTTCTGCCTCTTATATTATCTTTATATTAATTTATTTAGAATCCAAATTTGCCCCAGAACCCAATTGTGTTTCTTCATTGTGCAGACACAGGTGTTCTAGGCATTAATGTATTTATCTGAGACATTTGTATACAGTGGTCCCTTGGTTCTCAAACGCCTTGGTACTCAAACAACTTGGAACCAGAACACTGCAAACCCAGAAGCAAGTGTTCCACTTTGCAAACTTTTTTCAGCTCTTTTTCTTTTGTTTTTGTGACTATGTGGAACCCAGTTCAGCTACTGAATGATGGATTGCGTGACTGCAGTACATTGTTTATTGCTTTCGTTTTATGGCTCAATGGTCTCGTTAGATAGCAAAAACCATGCGAAATTGCTGTTTTAGGGGTTGTTTTTAAAAGTCTGGAACAGATTAATCCCTTTTGCATTCCTTTCTATGGGAAAGCACGCCTTGGCTTTGGAACGCTTTGGTTTTGGAACGGATTAAGTTTGAGAACCAAGGTACCGCTGTACTTTAGTGAATTCAACAAGGCATTTTGAGGAGAAGCGAACTGTTTCAAAAGGACTGGAGCAAATTTATATTTTATATGAAAGAAAATTGTAAACATTTGAAAATGTTTGTAGGTTTGAATTGAAATGCTTTGTAATGTGAAAATAAGGAACTGATTTACATATAAGGAGGTAATTTTAATAAAAAGAAGAACATTTAAGGTAAAAAAAAGTGGTTATAGAAATGCGAGAATTTAGTAAAAGATGTTTGGAAGTCAGAAAGAGGGAGGGAAGGAAGTCGATGCTCTGTTTGAGCAATGCTTTATGTTATAGATTTGTGTAATGAGTTGTAATTAAACATGAAAACTCAATAAAAATAAATTTTTAAAAAAAGGTTGAGAACCAAGGTACTGCTGCAGTTTAGTGAATTCAACAAGGGATTTTGAGGAGGAGCAAAGCCATTCACTCTGAACAGAGATACTACCGAATCTGCCCCTTTGGTCCTTACCGAAGAGTCAGAAGCCAGGATAATCTACGCTTTCTCTCTTGCAGGATCGCCAGTCACCAAGCCCGAGATGGTTGCCCAGATTGAGGAAGGCGGCCCGCTGCTGCTTAATGGTCAGGGGGATGTCCAGCCCAGGGAGCGGTCGGATGCTGCCGACACAGGTTAGAGAAGCCAACAAACCCTTATTGGCAGAAGTGCGTTCCTGGGTCAAGCACCCTCTTATAGTGTCCAGTGAGATGTTGGCCATCTAAGTTGGCGGCCCTCACTATCTCCTGTGGCAGGAAGTTCCTCAGTCTAACCCAGGGGTAGGCAACCTAAGGCCAGGGGGCCGGATCCGGCCCAATCACCTTCTCAATCCAGCCTGCAGACAGTCCAGGAATCAGCATGTTTTTACATGAGTAGAATGTGTGCTTTTACTTAAAACGCATCTCTGGGTTATTTGTGGGGCATAGGAATGCGTTCATTCACACCCCCCAAAAAAAATAGTCTGGCCCCCCACATGGTCTGAGGGACGGTGGACCGGCCCACAGCTGAAAAAGGTTGCTGACCTCTGGTCTAACCCTCCTCTGTGCGAATAACTTTCTTTTCTCTGTCCCTCATTCAGTTTCATCGCATCCCCGCAAGTTCTAGTGTTAAGAGAGAGGGAGAAAAAACTTTCCTCTCTCCGCTTCCTCCAGTCTGTGAATAATTTCACAAACTCCTCTCATGTTGCCTCTTCCTCGAATTTTCTCCAAACTAAAACGCCCCAAACGCTGCAGCCTTTTTCATAGGGGAATAATAATAATAATAATAATAATAATAATAATAATAATAATAAATTTTATTTATACCCTGCCCTCCCTGGCTAGAGCCGGGCTCAGGGCAGCTAACACCAATAAAATAAAATAACCGTAAAAACATAACAGAGGAAAAAGAGAGGGAGGGGAAAAACCAATTTAAAATACAGGTTAAAATTCAAAATGTTAAAATCCCCAGGATAATTTCAGTCGCCCTTTTCCACCTTCAGGGTTTGGAAGGCCCCTGAACTGTTTATTTACCTCCGTGTCCTGACCAAAGTGTGGCTTTTATTCTGTTTTTCTTTCCCCTCT